TTTCTATTACAGTCTTAATAGCCATCATGTTCCTGAGCTGCCTTATAGATCATTGGCATTGTCCCTTTTAAACAACTCACCCTTCAGTTCGCCCTTACATTCCTAAATCTTGGCTATCTCTGAGAGGAGGTGAAGCTAGGGCCACTCAGAAGTCTGTCCAGCTGCCCCTTAGCAGCCCACTGCTCAGCCTGAGTGGGGGACAGGCATCCACTGCCCAGATGTCTTGGCAGCTGCTTATAAACCCCCAGCTCTGTCAGGGCCCCCAGCCCAGTCCCTCGTGAGCTGAGTTTTGATGTGGGAGGGGAAGTGGGTTGCTGGGAGCTGGGGTTTGTTTGGGGTTTGGGGGTGTCCCTGAAGCTTCCTGAAGACCTCCATTTCCTAGAATTAGAAAACATTTAGGGGTGACAGCTCAACCCCCTTTTCTTACTGCTATAGGGCCTTGGGGCAGAGGAGACAGAGGAACTGGGCTCTGGGAAACCCAGCAGCAAACTCAACCTCCTTCTCTGTTCCTCAGAAATGTGACCCTGAAGGCAGCACAGCTTCTTGCTTCTCTGCTCATCCCTTTGGGCTCTGCCACCTGGTCTTTGTCTATATCCACATTCAAGCAGACATACTCCTCACTCCCCACCCCATTATCCCCCCAGCTCCAGCCCCAGACACTGAGAAGCCTGGGCAAGTCTTGAGGACTCAGGCCAGGGAGATACACATGAAGCACCCCCTCTACTCTGCTCCAGGCCAAGGCCCCAAATAGCTCAGCTTCTATATTTAGGAGTTCGCTCAGCAGTGCCAGGGAACTATACATAAGGCGCAGCTCAGCGTTGTTTCCATGGTCTAGGCTGGGTAAGGGTCAGGGGTCAAGAGGATGCCAACTGTGGCTGGGCAGGGTCTGACCAGGAGTACCTGGTCAAGGAGACTCTGAGAGCCAGGCCTAGGGAGACCCAAGGTGTCTAGCCCTCAGGAGGACACAAAGGGTCCATTGTCCTGCCTGCCCCTGGGCCTGGGGTCAGGGATGATCAACAGCATCCCATTCTCTTTCCTCACTCTCTGGGGTTTCCTACTTGGGGACAGCTGTCTGGCCTCACAACAGGTGTCTCCCGCCTGGAGCCAGCAGCTGGACTCATCCATGTGAGGGCTGGATCGGCCTCTTCCTCTGCCATTGTGTCCTAGTCAGGGGGCTTTGTCCTATGCTCCCCTCCATCTGGGGACCCTCTCTGATCTCTGCTTGGCTGGGGTTGTAATGGAGCTGGGCATAGGCTGGTGGCATAAGAAGGGGGCCAGGATATCGGGGTCCCTCTTCTTCTTCCCACAGCAGAGGCCATTGCAGAGAAGGCGGTCATCCCAACAGTCCCTGCTGATGTTGACTACACGTCACTCTGAGTCCTTGCCATTTGTCTGCTCCCTTATGACCCTGACATTTGCTCACCAAGGTTCCGACAATTCCACAGATGGAGAAACTGAGGCCCGGAGAGGTCCCTTAACCTGCCTGAGACGACACGGTCCAAAGATGGAAGAGACAGTTTGCCCAGGACCACTGATGTGAGTTGGGGGTGCCCTGTGACTGTGCAAGTCATTTCACTGCGTTGTGCCTCAGTTTCCCCATCTGTCTAATGCAAACCACAGCACCTGCCTCCTTGGGCTCCTGGGGAGATGAGTGAGTCAGTCCCTGTGAGGAGCTCAGAAGAGGGCCAGGCATAGAGAGTGCTGGATGCCTCTGTCACTCACCATGGAGATTTGTTCCTGCTGCAGCTGTAACAATGAAAATAATACTATAATATTATAAATAACACTGTTATTATTATTGATGGAATCATCCTGGCTCAGTCACTTCCTAGCTGAGGAAACTCAGGCCAGTAGCCCAACCCTCCAGGTGCCTGTTTCTCATCCTGAAGGAGTGCTGAGGATCACAAAAGTGAGACCCAAGTACTAAAGACAACTAAGGGCAGCTGCAAAAGGCTGAACCTTATTGCGTTCCCAGGATCATGCCTGAAGTTTTGCAAGGGAGCTCAGGCGCCCCTAAGCTGCAAACAGGGGGAACCTGAAGGAGCAGTTGCAGGCACTGACCTTCCTGAGAACATTCTTACTAAGAATAGTACATGAACAGACAACTGTGTTATTCATATAAAGGGTTCAAGGAAAGAATAAGAAACAAAGCCCAATAAAGCTGCTAAGTAAGCAGGGCAGGTTGCCAAACTTTTGCCTTTAAAAATAAACTGCTACAAGCACTTGGTGCTGCAGCCATGTCCAGTCTGTGTGTGTCTTCTGTTCTGTGTGACTTGTGTTCTGTGTTCATTCCCTTCTTCCTATTATGAAGGAACCACTACACACCTGAAAAATGGGGACCCATGTCCCTGTCTCACACCATGTACAACAGAAGTCACAAGGTTGTCTGGGGGCTGGAACTTCAGAGAATGTCAAGGAAGGAGGAGGAATGATGCCTAAGGCCCAGCAGGGGTCACATCGGGAAGCCTGAAGGGGGTTTGCTCATGGGGGGCAGCAGCTGGGCGGTATCACTAACTATGGAGCCCTGCAAGGAGCACAGACACACAGAGGTCAGAGTCCTGACAGTCCCTGGGGTGGAGGCAGACAGCAAACAGGGAAGCAGGCAAATTCCATGATGAGGGTCTGATGAGGTGCTACAGAGAATGGGGACAGTGGGGAGCAATTGGGGTTGCTGAGGACAGGGGAGGATTACCTATTGGACTTGGAAGATAGCTGAAGGAATGTTTGGGCAAAAACATGAAGGACAGGAGCGAGAAAACCAGGAGGTTATCTGGGGCCAGAGTGCTCCAGGCAGAGACAAACACCCCTGAAAAGGTCAGACACTGAGGTCGAGTATGCCTGGTGTTTTCACAAGGAAAATGGCAGCTAAGTAACTGAGTGGGGAGAGGGGTGCTGAGGGCAGGGAGGTGACAGGGCACAGCTTGCAGGGTCTTCTGCACCATCGGAGGTTTACACTGAGTAAGGCGGGAGCCATGGAGGGTTCTTGAGCAGAAGAGGGATGTGCACTGACTCAGGAGGTCCCAGGCATCCTTGGGCCACTGTGAGGGGAACAGATCGTGGGGGACAGGATCCAGGGCAGAAATATTGGTAATATTGGGGCTAGACCAGGGTGGGGACAAAGAGCAGAAGTGAGAGAATCTGGGGTCTAGTTGAAGTCAGAGCCCTAGGGCTTGCTCACAGGCCAGATTACAGTGGTGGTGGCTGGCGGGGATGTTCCTCTTCTTGCTTCCCCCAAGCTTACAGACAACATCTCAGAGCCTTTTGTTTAAGTTCTTCCTCACCCTGCTGCCTGAGGCCAATGGACAGGCATTTTAATTCCATTCATCAGACAAGGACACTGAATCCCAAAAAGGTTTGAGCTGCTCCAAGGGCCCCAGGAACATCCTGAAGGTTGAGAAGGAAAAACAACAGATGATCATGTGGACGGTGTGGGGACAACACCCTGGAGCTGAGCCTCCACCTCTGCCAGGCTGGATCTCTCACCTCCTGCTTCTCCTGGAACCAGCTGTCAGACCTTGGCCTGTGGGGCAGGACATCCACCCTGGGGCTTCTAGCTTTCTGGGAGAAAAGCCAAAATGCACTCTAGATCTGGTCTGGCCTTACCCTCCGAGCTTCCCTCCCCTAGACCCTCAGGCACCCTGGTAGGACCCCTTCCCATGCCCTGTTGAGGTCAAGGGAGTTGCAGTGAGTAGGAAGGGGTTAACTCTGGGGCTCTGGGTGCTCCACCACCTCTGGGATGTTGCCTTTCTGCTTTCAGCCATTGGTGACCTTATTTTTTCATGAGGAGTCTTTCCCTTAGAACTATGATGGACTTAATATTTTCTTTAATTTTCTGCACTGTTGCATTCTTCAATCATTCTTAAAAAAGAGGAAACTGTATATTGATGTCACAACTAAAAAACCTTTTTGTTGCACTGGACTCCAAAACTTAAAACAGTAACACAGCAACATAACAGCATGGATGCTAGCTGGATAAAACGCAGGGCCACTGAGGTGTTGAAGACACAGTAGCACCCTGTAGACTTCTCCTGGTCCCAGGGGCAGGCCTGCTGCCTGTGGGTCTCTGCTGAGCTACTTGTTAGCTGTGCCTCAGCTCCCAGGCTCCGTAAATAGGAGGCAGCCCCACCTGCCTCTCAGGTGTTTTGCAGGGTCAATAAGTTGAAATAGACACAGCACTTCGAGGCAGACCTGGCACAGATTGTTTTATAAATAATAGCGTATTTTAATAGCTATTAATAGCTAGCCTCTCTCTCTGAGGCTATCTAATAATTTTGAATAAGTCATGTTACTTATTAAAAAAACAACAACCATGGTCTAAGCCTGTGATTCTCTGTTGGTTAACTTTGTGCCCAGGATTCCCCGAACGTAAGTTTTCTACCAGGGGAAACACGGTCCCAGGAAGGCCGGCTTCAGCATGAGGCCCCTTGGTGTCCAAAACATGTCTTCTTGGTTCTTGCCCAGCATCCAGGAACGGCCCCTTCATACTCCTCCTCCAGCTTCCATTTGGACTCTGGACTTTCTGGGTCTCAGTCTCCTCCTTGGAAAATCAGGGAAACAGGGTACTGCTAGGTCAGGGGCTGGACTTGGAGTCTAGGACACACCAAGACAGTTCCAAATAGGGGAGCCCTGAACTATTTCTGACATAGTCCCTCCCCAACCCGAACAGCCCCCTGGACAAGACTCCCCCACCCCTGCCCTCACTGCCCCACTTTCCCGGGGATCAGTGCCAGTGAGCACAAGGGGTCAGAGTGTCTGTTAGAAGTTCAAATTGGAACTGCTGGCAAAGGATCTGAGAGCAGGGTACACCTCAGTGTGTGTGTGTGTATGTGTGTGTGTGTGTGTGTGTGTGTGTGTGTGTCTGCAGCACCCCTGGGTCTGTGATTTTACTGCACTTACCTGCTGGCTTCAGCTGCCCCACCAGTTCCAGGGCAGGACCTGGGGCAGTGTCTCCTCCCACACACACTTTATAAAGGCAGAACTGCCAGGCCTGGGGACTGGGGACTGCCCTGTGGCAACCTCTGCTTCCCCTGCCAGCACCTCAGACCATGGGAGGTCCCTGCCTCAGCATCCAACACGGTGAGAATTTGGGGCCCCTGTGGGAGGGGCTAGGGAGTCTCTGTCAGCTCTCCCATCCCCCCTCACTTGGAGAAATAGGAGGCACAGCTGGCAGCTCTGGAGCCTGCCATGGAGGAAGCCACATGGTTAGGAGGGTGTCATGGGTGCATTGGAGAGCAGCTGGCAGTGCCCAGGCAACCCCACTGGGGCAGGAACCCCCCTGGTGCTCTAAGAGTGTGTCCTCCCCACCCCACCAGGCATCTCCAAGCTCCCTTCCAGATGCACTTTGGAAGCTGCTCCCTAAGAGGGGAATCTGAAGCAGGGGGAAGGAAAGGGGCAGAATTTGAGAGCTGTGACCCCCCCAGGAAGTCATTCTTAACAGATGGCACAGAGGGGTGCTAGAGACCTAATGACAGGGACCTTCCACTATAGGGTGATGCCAACACATTGTCTCAGTGGCTGGGAAGTCTGAGAGACCCCACAGTCTTGCTCCTGCAGACCCTGCTGGGACTCTGACCCTGTGGGTTTGAACTTGAGTTCTGCTGTGGCTTCCCCCATGACTCCTTCCTGCCCCACCCAGGGTGGCTCTAATGGTTATCAGGGCAGCAAAGAGAGTTAAGAAATGACATTGGGGTGTCAATCAAAGCTTCCCCAGGCCACAGGAATGGGGCTTTCTGTGCTGGCCCAGAGTGACATGTGCAAGGTGTTTCTTAGAGCTTTATGGAAGTATAATTTACAGAGCATATAATTTGCTTGTTGCATGCACACAATCACATGATTTTTAGTAAATGTACAGATTCCTTGGAGTACACCTCAAGGGGTGATGTGTCAGAGGGCCAAGTCACAGAGCCCCTGATCCTCACTTTCCACATGTGCGAAATGGGGCAGGGCAAGACTGGTCTCCACTTTGCAGGGCTGTGTCAAGGGTTCAGTGAGTCCTGGTTCACAGTTAGAACTAAGTAAACAGTATTTGCTATTATTTTTACATTGTCATTATTATTATTTCACTGGCAGGTCTGGGGGATGGGCTGGGGGTCCTTAGCAGAATGAGCAAGGAGAGAATGACTGCCACAGGGTCCCTAAGCAGGAATCTGACTGCCCAGGGCTCAGCTAAGGGAATGCAAACCAGATGGGACGGGGAGGGGACATCCAGCAGCTCCTCTCCAGGCTCCTGTTTGGGTGACTTCCAGGGGCCCACATGGAGAAGGTCTGGCTCAGGAGCCTCTGTGGTGGGGCAGTAAAGCCCAGCTCAGCCTGATGGGGCACAAAGAACACCCTCCCTGCTGGGTCTGGAGAACTTGACCCCTCACTTCCACCTACCTCAGCCCCCTCTTGAACCAGATTCTCCATAAACCCTTCCTGGGCACTGAGCCTCAGTCTGTCCATCTGTAGATTGGACATAAACAGAGCCCCTGCCTCCTAGGGCAGTCGTGAGCACTAAAGTTGCTGCTGGGTATTAGGGAGCTGGGGATAAATCTGCCCAGGTCCCACTCAGCCAGGGAAGGTCCTGTTGTGGTCTTTCCTGCAATGAGGAACTGGGTCTCTGGCAAAGGGAGAACTAACCAAGCCCTGTGGCCAGAGAGGAGGCAGAGAGGAATTCTAGCCTCAGTTTACTGCGTCTACGAGGGCCTTGGGGAGGGGGGCCTTTGCCCTCTGCTGGCCTCAGTGGTATCAAGTTTGGACATTGGAGCTGAGTGCTCAGGGGACCATCCTCTGTGCATCCCCTACAGCTCCTCAAGCCTTGCTCACAATGACTAACACCCAAATTCCCCTGTTCCCCTGGGAACTCCTTCATGTGCTACTGAGCCATGAGTTAACCCTTCATTTGGCCCAGGAAGTGACACGAGCCTGCCCTGCCTCCCTGGCCCCATCCCTCCACCTGCTGTCCCCTGTCTGGTCTCCCTGGATGATCCAGGTCAGGCTGCCTCCCAGCATTTCCACATCAGCAGGAACTGGACAGATTCCTCAAGCCCTTTCCACCCCCCACCTGCTGCCCAGCCTCCTTCCTCCTTCCCTCCCCCTTCTTTATTTCTGTTTCTCTATCTTGCTTTCAATCTCTCTATCTCTCTGTCCAATTGCTGGCATCTCTGTCTCTCCCTTTCTAGGAGTTCTCTAATTCTCTGTCCATCTCTCTCAATCACTGTCTTCTGAACTCTGCCTCTCTGTTTCTCTCCATCTCCCTGTGTCTCCTAATATCCCTCTCACATCTGTTCATTTTCTCTCCACCTCTCTGTCTCCTTTTTTTTTCTGTCTCTCTCTCTCTATGTCTCTAGCTCCTTCTCTGTCCCTCTGTCTCGGCCTCTTCTTAATTTTCTCTCCATCTCTGTCCCCTTGTCTGTCTGGTGAACAGCAAAGAGGTCCCCATCTCTATACCCCCTGCTGACTTGAGGAGGACCCCCCGGAACATGCCCTGGGAGGGGAGTGCCTCTGAGCAAAAGGAACAGCAAGATTGGGGGGGCCATGCAGAACCACCTGAACATGAGCCGACAGCATCTTCCTGTGTGCAGGGAGCCAGGGGGTGAAATGTCACTACTGTGTCCCAAGCTGGTCATGTGGTTGACAGAGGTGGGTGTGGTGTTCTGCACATGTGTCCCTGAGGAAGGGTGAGGGGCCAGAGCATCTCAGTGTGGGGAGGATCTGAGAGTACACTTGGTCCACTCTACATTTTTACATGAAGAAATGATGACAGTAAACACTTTGACACACCAGGCAGTACTTATGCATTTAACTCTAACACTACTCTAGGAAATGGGTTCCCTCTTCATCCCCATTCTACAGAAGGGGAATCTGAGGACCTGAAGCACCAAAACAAGGTCTGGGACTAGAACCAAGGCCACCAGACTCTAGTCTGTTTCCTGAACTGCTGCCCTCAGGTCAGCAGAAGCCAAAACCCCTGCCTGGTTCGGGCCCCTCCCCATCCTTCAGTTCCTGAAACCCATCTTCAGGCGATGGGTGCAGACCCACTGGTCATGGGCGCTGGAGGCAGGGAGGTGCCACCTGCCCACTCTCTCCTTGAGTGAGGGACAGAGCCCAATCCTGGATGGGGTGAGCAGCTCCCTTCCCTCAGATCAGTCACTCTCAGGCCTCTGTGAGCCCTTCCCTGTTCTGTATCCACCCTGACCCTCCATGTCTCTGTTCCAGCACTGTGTGTCTTGCTGACTCTGTTGGAAGATGGACTCCAGAACACCAGGGGTGAGTCTGCTGGGAGTAACTCAGTCCACAGCCAGAGTCCCAACCCCCACCTGCACCTCTCAGCCCAGGCAGGAGAAAGGCCTGGTGCAGGGGAAGCTCAGGGTCACCCTTCCCATCACCCCTTCCCAGCCCCTGGCTCAGCCTTCATCTTCTGACTAGTCTCCATCCCCACAGCCTCGGCCACCATGGACTGTGCCTCGTGGTGCCCTCCACACTCCACATGTGTCAACGCCACTGCCTGTCGCTGCCATCCAGGATTCGCCTCTTCTGAGGAGGTCGTCACCAGCATCTTGGAGAGTTGTGATGGTACAGAAGCGTGGGGTGGTGGAGGGCCACATAGATAGGGGGATGGAGGTTAGAGGCCTCGGCCTTTGTTCTCAGACTGTTATCAGGGACAGAGAAAAGAGAAAGAGAAAGATGTGAAGGTAAAAAATGAGAAGTGAATAAACATGGCTTTGTGGAGAGACAGGTGCTGGGTCTCCAGGAGTCTGGAATCTGTGCCCCAGTTTGCCCTTCCAGGACTGAGGAGGGGGATGCAGAGATTCCACCCACCCACCATTTCTGTATTTCCTCCTGTATCGAAATCCAGCATGACAGGTGGAAAGCTGAGAACAGTCTGATTGAATGGGTTTCAGGAATGGTTTGCTCTAGCCACAGCCCAGCTGCAACAGTGTTGCCTGAGAGTCTGATTCTTTCCCAAAAAATGCTGATTAAGCTTTGGGCTCCAGGCTAGGTGTGGGATGAGGTTCTCGGTCCTGGAGGCACTCCGGCCTTTGGAAGGTCAGGGACCTTGGGCTTTTGGAAGGTGACCCTTTACCCTGTTTTGTTCCAGACATCAATGAATGTGGACCACCCTCGACAGTGTCCTGTGGAATATTCGCAGACTGTCAGAATACGGAGGGCAGCTACTACTGCACATGCAGCCCAGGATACGAGCTTATTTCTGGGGCAACAAAGTTCAGTAATGAGAGTGAGAACACGTGTCGAGGTAAGAATGACCCGCATCTTCCATCTCCCTGTCCATGAGGTTTGGAGTCAGCAGAGCCACTCCTGCAGCACGCAGGGTGCAGGGCCCTGGTTGCAGGTGCTGCTCCCAGTATGAATTGGGACAACTGTGCCTGTACCTGTCCCACTAGCAGACAGGCAGGGTGGCATGAGAGCCAGGGCCCCAAATCCTGGCTTTGCTACCTGACAGCTGTGTATGCGACACCAGCCAGGACACTGACTCAGAAATCACTGGTAATATGGTGTGATAATATTATTGTGATTTTGTGTTTAAAAAAACAAAGAGTGCCTATCTTTTAAAGACAAAAACAAAAGTAGCTTTGTCTTTTGTTGCTGTATAACCTTGGGCACATTCTTCACCTCTGTTTTCCACCGTTTACTCATCAGTAAAAGAACAACAATGGCGCTTACCTCACAGAGTTTCTGGGGTGATATATGAGATCACAGAGCACAGCACAGTGGTGGCTGTAGGGTATTTAGATTACAATCATCATGATCTAAGTCACCATCTCCAGGATGGACATCCCTGGGGACTGCCCCATGGTGGCTGCTCAGAGAACAGCTGGCCCATCCGTTCCCTCACCAGGGACCCAGGAGGATCCAGGCCTCCATGCCTCACCAGGCACTGCCCCCTTTCAGGGGGAGCAGACGGACAGGGAAAGGGCTTCAGGCAACCCCAGGGGCAGGTGGGGCCAACAATGGTCAGGCAGAAGCCAGGACTCACCTCGAGAGAGGGGATTAGTGCAGAATACAGAGAGAGAGGAGGAGGCTGAACCCAGGATCCTGGAGGACTCTGAGCAGGGTCCACAGGCCCAACCTGCTGCTGGGAGAAGAGTCCCAAACCAGGGCCCCAGCCCCATCCCTCATGCACCTGCATGGAGCCCAGTGGGAGGGCTCCACCCACCGCACTGCTGGTCCACAGGGGCATCTGTGGGTGGTCATCGTGCCCAAAATATGTAGCCTGACCAGAGGGCAGAGCCTTCATGAGAATTGGGAAAAGGTCCCTCTTCCCCAGGTGAGCACTGTGTTTGGGGAATGAACAGTGAGCTGCTGTTAGCCCCCATTTGCCTCCTTGGCTGGACACCCTTGTGCAGAGAGCAAGCCATTCAGTGTGCCTGGACCACCGCAAGCCCTGCACACGGTGGTGGCTGTGGCACTGAGGAGACGAGCTGCTGTGTGAGAAACAGGCCAGGCCGAGAGACAGGGCTGGAGCTGCTCGCAGAGACATGGCTGAACAGAGTGAGGTGGGAGAGGTGGGTCCTCAGGGAGAGAGCAGCCTGCTGGTCTGCTCAGGACCTGCCACCTGAAGACCGAGCTTTGTGACAGGCTCAGCTGGGCCGTCTGTGCACCTGCCCACCTCAGCTCTCCAGCCTCGCCGCTCCTGAGGACGCGTCTGCTCGCGTCATGGCCCACGAGGTCTGCTTTGAGCAGCTGACCCGGGCCACTTCCTGCCTGCTTGTCCCACATGCTTCAGGCATCAAAGGGCCATCCCAGGCACCTGTCTGGTCTCCCAACCCTCTCTGAACCCCAAGGCTCAGAACCCTCTGCAGAGGCCATTTCCAGAAGGTTGGAATGTCTTCGCTGCAACCTGGCACCTTATTGCATAAAACAAAGAGAGTGGTGGCTTTCAAGATACTTCGGGAGCTCACAGCGCAGAGCGTTCCAGAGCAGTATCACCCTCCACCATCACCAGTGACTGCTGGGCCGAGACCTGACACCACTGGAGCCCACACAGGATCAGCGGTGCCAGGAGCCCTCTCAGACCCCCGGGCCATGATGGACCCAGGGATTCCCTCATGAAAATTGGGAGGAGATTCAGGCCACCTCCCCCAGCTGGCCATGCCTCTGGCCAACAACCGCACCTGGAAAAAATGCCTCCGGGCACCCTGACCCCAGTTAGCAGCCACTCATCCTCCATTTCCCCAAGCAAGCCCCCACCCTGACCCTCCCCGGTAATTTCAGCTCATAGGACTGTGGGCAGCTTGGATGACTGGGACCCAGAAAAAGTTACATGTCAGGGGTAAACAGAGTGACGTCGACTTTCCCCCCCCCGCCCCAGACTCTGACAGTGGGGTGAATGAAGAGGCTCCCACATGGACCAGATGACAAGAGAGGGTGTCGTCGGGGACCACTGCCCCCGGGCCTCACCCTCTCCCGAGGAGGTCAACCCAGGTGCCTTGGGGGCCCAAACCACTGGGGGACAGAAGATGGAGCTCCTCTTGGCAAGGCCCACAGGTCTGTGTCCCTGGTGGGAGAACAAGGAGCCAGAGGACAAAAACACCTGCCACTCTCCACCCATCAGCACCTGCTCCCTGCTCCAGGCACCCAGCCCTTGCCCGCTGCCGGCTTGCTCACATGTGGATTATCATCACTTCCTTCCAGCCCATGAGGTGCCTTCATGGGGATCAGAAGAGGCACCTTCATGCCCCAAGGCTGTGGGCTGGATGTGAGCTCCACTGTCCATCTCAGCCTGGCACCCACTGCCCAGGTGGCCCTGACCATCTGGCATCATTGTCATATTCTGGGCCCCTGCCTAGAAGCCTTCTCCTCGAAGGGCCAGGCTCAGGGATGGTTTCGGTCCATCTCCATGGGCTGGAGTCTCAGGAGTCGTGTGGGTGGAGAGCGATGTCTCACCAGAGTCACCAGGATTCCAAGGAGAACTCAGCCAACAGCACCGTCCTGGAGGAGTCAGGACAAAGGCCACCGAAACGAGCACTGCTCAGGGAATGCATCATTTTTCCTGCACTGGTTTCCAGGATGACCCACCCTGGCCTTTGCCCAAGTCCTCAGACTGGGGCACGTGGCACTGATGTCCCTGCCCAAGCGAGGAGCTGCCCGGGAGTCAGGGAGTCAGAGCTGGCAGGAAGGACTTGGGCCATTTCTGGCCTCATCAGGACAACAGAGCATCTAGACCACCATGCTTACCCATAGGACGGCTCCATGTGGATTAGAAAAGGCACCCACTCACCTAGGAGGAGGCAGTGGGGCCTTCCAGATGCTTCTGTGCCAGTAAATGTGGCTGACTCCCAGCCCTGAAGGCATCCACCACCCTCTCCTTCCCCTTGCAGACATAGACGAATGTCAGCTGAACCCCGGGATCTGTAAAAGCCGCCGCATCTGTGTCAACACCCAGGGCAGCTACACCTGCAAGTGCCCCCCCGGGTTTGAGCTCAACCGGGAGGACCCAAAGCTGTGCAAAGGTAGAGGCCCAGGAAGATGCTCTGAGGCTGGACAGGAGCTGGGGAAGGAGCCGAGGCAGGTCCCGCAGCCGCAGGAGGCAGAACATGCTCAGGTTCCCGAAATGCCAAAGCCTTGCCTAAGGATTCACCTCCCTGACAGTCCTGCCACAGAGCTGGGAGATGGCAGCGTCTTCTGGGCCCTGGGTTTCCTTGTGGAGCCCCTGTGAGCATCCCAGACCCTTCCCCTTCCTCATCTGTCACATGCAGCAGAGGGAGGTATCATTTCTGATTCTCAGGAAGTGAACTTGGGCCAGGGCCCAGAAGGGAGTAGGCAGGAGTCCTTGGTCAGGAGGTTGAGCCCTGGTGACTCAGTTTCCCTCTTGGTTTTGCCACTTATGAACTAGAGACTATGGTCCCTGACATGTCCATCCTGCAGGGAGGCCACCATTAGGAGCTTTGAGGGTGGAGTTGAAGGTCACCAGATGGTGGCATGTGTGGGGTCCTTAGTGCTGGGCAATGAGAAGTGGGTGCGGGGAGTGGAGGGCGGGTCTGACACTCTGGCTTTGTCCTCAGATGTGAATGAATGTACCTCAGGGCAAAACCCCTGCCACAAATCCACCCACTGCCTCAACATCGCGGGCAGCTATACGTGCCGCTGCCGCCCTGGCTGGAAGCCCATTCCTGGGTCCCCCAACGGCCCAAACACCACCATCTGTGAAGGTTCGTATTCAGATCCCATGAATGTACCACATCTTCTTTACCTTGTGGAGCCACCTAGAAGGAAGCTGCCATAACGAGCTTTGGCAGACAAGGGGCAGCAACGGTTTCAGCATCCGTGTGTCCTCAGCGCAGGCAGTGAGGACAGGGGGACCTGGGCTGCTCAGGGCTGAGCTTCGGATCCTGTTCTAACACGGACAGGAGCGTGGCTGTGGATGGCAGCTGTGCCACAACCCACAGCATCAACACTTGGAGAGCCATCTGTGTTGCAGCCTCGCTGGTTAGAGGCCCATCGCAGGGCCCCCAGAGTCCATCCTACAGCGCACATGGGGGACACAGCTCTGGGATGACATCGCACACACAGTGCTGCCCTGTCCACCTTGCAGGGACGCTTATGGGGCCTTTACTGGGGGAAATGTCATCACAAATGTGTATCCTGACAGGCTAGGTGGCTGGTAGTGGGGCATAGTGGGGGTGTCCTTGGTGTGAACTGCAAAGGAATTGGAGACAAGGGGCAGGAAGGAAGGTGCAGAGAGTGGACAGAGGGCCTGACGCTCTGGCTTTGTCCTCAGATGTGAATGAATGTACCTCGGGGCAAAACCCCTGCCACTATTCTACCCACTGCCACAACATCGTGGGCAGCTATGAATGCCGCTGCCGCCCTGGCTGGAAGCCTGCTCCTGGGTCCCCCAATGGCTCAAACAACATCGTCTGTGAAGGTTCGGAGTTCAGATCCCACACACCCAAGGATCCACAACTCAAACCATCTGATCACATACTGAATGGCACCCACATGAACCCAGCAGAGTGATTGCTGGGCGTGCCCTGCTGTGCCAGGCTTTAATTATTTTAAGGCTAAATGGGAAAAGATCTGGGCGGTCCCAGGGAAGAAGCTGGGGTGCCAAGGGGAAAGTTCCTGGGGGACCCCATGCAGCAGCTAATTACTAACTGGGACAAAGGTTATTTCAGATATACTATTTTTGGTTAATCCTCACCCAAGAATAGTTTTCCATTGATTTTCTTAGAGAGAGTGGAAGGGAGGGAGGGAAAGAGAGAGAGAGAAACATCAGTGTGAGACAGACACATCGATTGGTTGTCTCCCACACAACCCTGAGCGTCGGGGATCAAACCTGCAACCCAGGTATATGCCCTTGACCAGGAATTGAACCCGAGACCCTGTGGTCTATGGGCCGATGCTCTAATCACTAAGAAAAACCAGCCAGTGCTGGGACAAAGATTATTTCAATATCTCACACCCTGTACCTCAGTATCGGGCTCACCTGCTATGTGTCAGGCCTCTGCACACTTCCCACAATCCCTTTGTCTGCCACTCAGGGATGTGCAGTCAACAGGTGTCATCACCTCCAGCCAAGGGGTGGGGGTAGGGGGCACTAACATGGGGAATGGGGTGGGGCATGAAGAGGAGAGGGACTCAGATTCCTGAATAAACAAAGGACTACCCAGTGTGAAAGTACCTGGTCTGACACTAGACCCTGCCTCCAACACACTCTCACACCTAATGAGCAGCTGTTCTATCCCCAGCAGAGATCTTCCCCACCTGGACCCCGTCCCCTGGAATCAAGAGCCAGGTGAGTGACTCCAGCAGGGACCAGAAGGCAAGGATCCCTCCACCCCTTTACCCCATGCTCCCCCATCCACATGTGAGGCTCTCTGATCCCTCATCTCCTTTCTCCCCAGAGTCTCTCCCACTTCTCTGAAAGAGTCCAGGGTCTGGAGAGAGACTTCAAGTCTGCCTTGGCCCAGGACACCATCCAGGTAAGGGCAGGACCTGGGGGGATCCCAGACAGTGTCAGGGTGGCTGGGGGATGCTTCAGCATGAGTGGAAACAGCCCAAGCAGGGGCCTCTGATCAGAGAAACACATGTGGATGTTTGCACAATATTCACACACCATACATATCCCCATCACACAAACACAGATGTACACACACACACCCCAATTCCTGGGTTCCCCAGTGTCTGGAGCAGGGTACACACACCCACACTCACACTCAAGAGGGGTATAATGGCTACAGAATGAAGCAACTGAGAATTTTGCCTCTAGAGCCGAGCCAAAGGTTCAAATCCCCATACACTGCTGTGCCCTCAGGCCAGTGACTCCCCCCCTGGGCCTCAGACTCCTGCTTCACACAGTGGTTGTGAAGGTTTGAATGAACTAAGAGAAGGCTCAAAGAATAGTGCCTGGCACACAGTAAGCACTGGATGTAAGTTTTAGCATATGTACTTAGCCCAGTAGAAATATATGAGCCTCTTATGACATTTTAAATTTTCCAGTAGCTTTATTTTATTATTTATTTTAAATATGTTTTTATTGATTTTTTAGAGAGAAAGGAAGGGAAAGATAGAAACATTAATGTGAGAGAGAAACATGGATCGGCTGCCTCCTGCACGCCCCGTACTGGGGATCGAGCTTGCAACCCGGGCATGTGCCCTGACTGGGAATCAAACAGGGACCACTCAGTCCATGGGACGATGCTCAATCCACTGAGCCACACCAGCTGGGCTATTTTTTAACTTTAATTTTTGTTAATCCTCACCCAAAGATATTTTTCCATTGAGTTTTAGATAGAGTGAAAGGGAGGGAGGGAGGGAGGGAGAGAGGGAGAGATAGAGAGAAACATTAATGTGAGAGAGATACATTGATTGGTTCCTTCCTGTATGACCCAAATCAGGTCTAGGGATCAAACCAGTGACCCTTTGTTCTGCTGGCCAACACTCTAACCACTAAGACAAATTGGCCAGGGCTCCAGTAGATTTATTTTTTATAAAGTAAAAGTAGCCCTGGCTGGGTGGCTCAGCTGGTTGGAGCATAGTCCTATACACCAAAAGGTTGCAGGTTTGATCCCCAGTCAGGGTACATATGGGAGGCAACCAATCGATGTTTCTCTCCCACATCGATGTTTCTCTCTCTCTTTCCCCTCCCCCACTTACTTCCTTTCTCACTCTCTCTAAAAAAAAAAAAAAGATATATATTTCAGTGGTAAAGATCCTTGGGTGAGGATTAACAACAACAAAAAGTAAAAGTAAACAAATAAAATTAATGTGAAGATTGCATTTAACCCAACAGATCCAAAATATTACTATTTCAACATGGTGCCACACGTGACTTGTGGGACCTGTGGTGACTATTCTGGACAGTGCAGACTTAGAAGAGAGCCTGGCAGAAAGTCAGCGACTGATAAATGCTAAGTGCCATGGTTACATGTGCACACAGGCACGCACTTGATCCCCTACTTGTCTTCTGGCTGTTGCAGTGTCTAGATGGTTCTGCTGTCTGTCCCCCAAACAACCTGTGTGGTTTTTCAGTGTGTTCCCTAGTGAGGGAGTGAGATCAGGGTCTTTGGGGGGGAGGTCCCTGTGGTGCAGTGACCCAGCAACTGTCACGAATCACCCCAGAAACTTATCACGTCATTGGATGAGCTACTGGAAGTCCCTGGGGACCTGGAGAACCTGGCCCTCCCTGCCCGGCATAGCTTGGCCACTCACCTGCTGTCATACCTTGAAGAAGTCTTGAGGACCCTGGCCAAGACCATGCCTGGAGACTCCTTCACCTACCATCCCCCTTCGAACACAGGTGAGGCCTCTTTCTGCCCTGCTCTGCCCCAGTCCCAGGCCCCATCCTGCATCTGGAGCCCCCCGTCACTGCCCCTCTCCCCTCAGAGCTGTCCCTAGTGATCCAGGAGTAAGGAAATGGAACCATCACCATGGGCCGGAGTCATGCACGAATGGTGCTGAACTGGGCTGAGGCAGCTGAAGTTGGGGACCCAGGTAACAGCAGGGAGCCAGAGGAGGCACCTGTGGGAGAGGGAAGAAAGAGCTGGGATGTGCTTGCAGTGAGGTTTCAAATGTGTAACAATTGGAAACGGAGCCATTGGGAGGGACTCCAGGCATCACAGTAGACTGGCCAAGCCTAATTTAGACATCTCAGGAGGGAGGAGGGAAGGCAGGAGAAGGCAGCCAGCATGTCTGTCCCCTAGGCCGTGCCGTGGCAGGCATACTCTCCATCCCAAACATGCAGAAATTGCTGGTCAATGCCTCCTTGGAGCTGGACTCTGAGAAGAAAGCCCAGCTGGAAGAGATACATAAAAGTCCTGTCAACGGTGCCCAGCTCACGCTCCTCTCTACTATCAACATGGTCTTTCTGAGCAACAAGAACACATCGAAACTAGACTTCCCTGTCACCTTCTACTTCTCCCACCTTGTGAGTCTTTGGGTGGGGAGAGGGGATCAGCCCCACTGTTCACCCCATAGCCCCTCTGAAGTCTTCATTTCCCCAACTCTGCCCATTCTGCTACTTCTTTAAAGGTAGCCCAGGGCCTTTGCACTTTCTGTGCTCTCTGCCTGAGACACCTTTCCATCACATGATTCAGTCCTTTGCCTGTTTCTAGTCTTTGTTCAAATACCACCTTCTCTTTTAGGCCCTCTCTGATATCCTTATGTGAAATTACAATCTGTAATTAATTCATGCCCAACATTTCTCCTATACTGCTGCTGCTTCTTTTTAAATAGCACTTACCACCTTCTAAAACACTATCTAATTTACTTATCTATTAGGTTTATTATTTACTGTCTATCTCCCCAATGAGCATATCAGCCCTACAAGGACAGGGATCTGTGTCTGCCCTGTTCACTGCTGTGCCCCCGCCTGGCACCCATAGTAGGTGTTCAGTAAATACTTGTCAATGGGTGCTGAGTAAATACTTGTCAATGAAAAGCAGCCTTCCTCAGACCCAGCCCAAGGTCAGAACCTAAGAATGGGCTCTAGGCTAACATCTCTGGCCATCCCCACCTGCCCACAGAATCAGAGGCCCATGCTGCGGCAGGAGCTAATCTGTGCCTTCTGGAAGGGTGATAACAGCAGTGGGTACTGGTCCACCACAGGCTGCCAGAAGCTGGGCAGAAGGGATGGCAACACCACCTGCAAATGCAGCCACCTGAGCAGTTTTGCCATCCTCATGGCCCACTATGACGTGCAGGTGAGAGCCTTGTGAAGACATTTTGTTCAATTTCTGTTTGTTTTGTAATAAATTTCCATACATGTAGCCCCTCAAAAACATAAATTTATTATATTTCAATTTTGTTGTGTCAACAAACAAACATGGCATATTTGGATTGTCTGGTGAGGGTCTTACAAGTCTTATAAGCCTCTCCTCTGGGGATTGCTGTCTTCCTCTAGCCCCCTGGTTGCTGGAGAAATCCGTCCATGCTGTTACAGGTCTAAGTCTTGCTTTCTTGGTGGCTGGCAGCAGAGGTCACATTCAGTTTTGGATATTTATCCATCTAAGAGTTAAATATAACACATAGGAAATTGGTGTCTATTTTATTGTCAGTGAAATGGAACATTTTCATTTGAGAGTGATTTGTTTTTCTGTCTCTGGAAATAAGTTTTTGCTTTTTTATCTATATTTCTATTGGCCTGTTGATACTTTTCTTATAGATCTGGGAGCTCTTTATGTGGTAGAGGAATTTATATCATTACACAAAAAGTACTCAAAACCTAGTATGCATCAAAATCACTTGGAGGGCTTGCTATTTATTTATGAACATTTATTTAGGAAACAATGTCGATCTTACAGATTTGTTGCAACAATGAAAAAGTGTAAATAATACCAAATTTATTTTATCCATGTGCATCGGCTTTGAACATTTAACCTCCATTTTCTCTACCACTTTCATGGTTCTGCTTTTCTCTCTCTGCCTCCCAATTTCTCTCTCACCTACTTACACTAAAATTAAATTTTTAAAAAATTCTGCTAAGGGATTTAAGATAATTTGGAAAAATAGGCAGCCAAAGCCTTAATCTTTAGGATGCCCATAGTACTGGCCGTCTTAGCCACAGCAGTCAGAAAATAATGAAAACTAAAAGGAATCCAAATGGTAAAGGAGGAAATGAAATTGTCATTATTTGCAAATGACATGATGTTGTACGTAGAAAACCCTAAAGACTCCATCAAAAAGCTACTTGATTTAATAAATGATGTTGCCAAGTAGCAGGATACAAAATTAACATCAAGAAATCAGTGGCATTCTTATACACCAATATTAAACTGAAAGAAAGAAAAACAAACAAACAAAAAACAACCCAAAACGGAAAGGTAACCCACTGTATGGGAGAGCATAATTTCCAACTATCCATCAGGTGAGGGGTAAATTTCCAAAATATATAGAGTACTCCCAAAAACTCAACAAAAGGAAGACAAATAACACAATTAAAAAATGGGCAGAGGACCTAAATAGACACCTCACCAAAATGGACATACAAATGGCCAAGAGACATGAAAAAATATCTCAACATCACTAATCATCAAAGAGATCCCAATTAAAACGACTATGAGGTATCATCTTACACCTATCATAATGGCTGCCATCAACAAGTCATCAAACAACAAGTGCTGGCGAAGGTGTGGAGAAAAGTGGACTCTAGTATATTACTGGTGGGAATGCAGACTGGTGTAGCCACTATGAAAAACTATATGGTGTTTCTTCAAAAAATGAAAAATCTTAATTTGACCCAGATATCCCACTTCTAGGAATATGTCCTAAAAAGCCTGAAAAACCAATTAGAAACAATAAATGCACCCCTATGTTCATAGCAGCACTATTTACAATTGCTAAGATCTGGAAAGAGGCTAAGTGCCCATCAGTAGATGAGTGGGGAAAAAAAGCAGTGGTACATATACACATTGGAATACTATGCAGCTGTAAGAAAGAAAGATCTTTTATTTTTTTTTAGATGACATGGGGAGACCTGGAAAGTAGTATGCTAAGCGAAATAAGCCAAGCAGAGAAAAGCAAATATCACATGATCTCAATTATTTATGAAATATAATCAACAAAATAAGCAGATGATCAAAATAGACCCAGAGACATTGAAGTAGGTTTCAGACATAAACCTCAGAGGATGTCGGCGGGGAAGAGATAGCCGAAGAACTCACATGCATATAAGCATAACCAGTGAACATAGACAACAATGCTGGGGTGGGGGCAGCGGTTGGGAAGAGGATGTCCATGAGTGAAAAAGGAGAAACATATATAAGAAAAGTAAATTAATTAATAAAAGTTATAAATAAAAAATTGGCAGGAAATATGAAGTTTATTTCCTGACATCATCAGAGTATAGTACTTTTCCTTAACCAAGGATCTAAATCTGTAAAGAGCAGGTGTTGCAGCCCTAAGGTATGTCTGGGTGGGGGAGTTGATACCTGGACATTGAGTCTCCAGGTACAGACTCTGCCTCACAGCATCAGGTCATGGGCATGGAGGATGGTGCTCAACACAGAGCTGTGTGCTCCCATGACTGACACATGATAATTTATAAGTTAAATCTTGTCCACAAGTCTAAAGAAAAATAAATCCTATGAATTATATGGCTTGGTCTTGAGTGAGGAGTCTCTTATCGCTCAATTTTTCCTGGGTCTGAATTAATCAGTTTAGAACCCCATAAAGTTCTAACAGTATCCATAAACATCCCAAATACATGTAGATGCTCCATTCCTAATTTTGTTGTACCCACCAAAAAACTAAAACTGGTGGAAGAGTCATTAACTCAGAGCAGGAATGTGTGACTGATATTTCCTGTTTGCTGGGTCCCAGGAGGAGGATCCCATCCTGGCTGTGATCACCTATGTGGGGCTGAGCCTCTCTCTGCTGTGCCTCTTCCTGACAGCCCTCACCTTCCTGCTGTGCAAAGCCATCCAGAACACCAGCACCTCACTGCACCTGCAGCTCTCGCTCTGCCTCTTCCTGGCCCACCTGCTCTTCCTCACGGCCATCGACAGAACTGAGCTCAAGGTACTGACACTGTCCTGAAGGACCCCCACCCTGCCTGAGGGGATGCTGAATGCTGGGGGCCATGCTGCATGGACACTTTCATAAAACGGCCTCGGGTTCTGGGAAAATTTGAGGGGTGAGAGGCCAATTTCACATTGACTGGGTCACCAAATGGCAAGGTATAGGAGAGGTCCTGGCGGCATGCTGCACCCTGACTATTCCACCTGGTGACTCTCACTCCTCCAGGTGCTGTGCGCCATCATCGCGGGTGCCTTGCACTATCTCTACTTGGCCTCCTTCACCTGGATGCTACTGGAGGGCCTGCATCTCTTCCTCACCGCACGCAACCTGACTGTGGTCAACTACTCCAGCATGAGCAGGTTCTTGAAAAAGTTCATGCTCCCTGTGGGCTATGGAGTTCCAGCTGTGATTGTGGCCATTTCTGCAGCTTCCAGGCCTCACCTTTATGGAACATCTACCCAGTAAGGGCATATTCCCATTTTTTCTTTTTTTTTTTTTTTATCCTCACCTAAGGATATTTTTCCATATTTTGTACAGATAGAGTGGGAGGGAGAGAGAGGAAGGGAGAGAGAGAGAGAAACATCGACGTGAAGGGACACATCGAGTGGCTGCCACCCGCACGACCAACCAGGGCCGGGGACATACTGCAACCGAAGTACGTGCCCTTAGCGGGAACCGAACCCGGGTCTCTCCGGACCACAGGCCGACGCTCTAACCACTGAGCCAAACCGGCCAGGGCCATATTCCCATTTCTTTATCTTCTTCACATCACCATGGCCTTTATAGATGTAATATAGCATTCGGATTATGTCAGATCATATTAATAGAGACAATAAGTGATAATCCTTTGGACAATTTTCTGATGGGTATTTATAATAATTAAGGAGAATGTCTTTAAATCTCTCCTTGAAATAACAAAGGTCTAGTGGGAAAAAAAGTGCTTAGGACATTATTATAAACAATTTAACTTACCACTTTATCCAAATTGTACAGGAAGTTCCAATCTGATATTTGAAAACTAGAGGTGATTTAAATAAGCTAAAGAATAGATTGTGTTATAGTTGAGCGTTGCATGGTGCTTATTTTGTGCCAGGCACATTCCTGACCATTTTTGTATTAATTAACACAATTCATCCTCACACCAATACTATGAGTAGATAGTGTGATTTGACCCATTTTATAGATAAGTAAATTGAGGCACAAATAGGTTAAGTAAATGCCCAATGGTGGACAGCTAGGAAGTAGCAGAACTGGATCCAAATGAAGGGAGTCAAGTTCCAGAGATTGCACTCTTTTATTTTCAGGTTTTTATACTAGGTTTTATGCTTTTAATTATTCTTAAAATATATTGCACATAACTTTAAAGTGTTTTTTTTTCTTTTTCTTTTTTCACTTTATAAATTAATGAATTTATTCATTTTTCTTACAGATGTTTCTCCTTTTTCCACCAGTAATACCCCCTTCCCCATTCCTCTCACCTTGTCCCCGGCTTTGTTGTCCATGTCCATTGTTCATTCATATAAGTTCTGTGGTTCATCCCCCTCCCACCTCTTCCGGGGATTGTCAGGCTGTACCCCACTTCCACATCTCTGGGACTACCCCATTCCTCAGACTGTTAGGTTCATTATATTCCACAAATAAGTGAGATCATATGATACTCGTCTTTCTGTGTTTGGCTTGTTTCGCTTAGGATAATGCTTTCCAGGTCCCTCCATGTCATCTCAAAGGATTATAGATCTTTCTTTCTTACAGCTGCATAGAACTCCATTGTGTATATGTACCACCACTTTTTTATCCATTTGTCTACTGATGGACATTTGGGCTGTTTACAAATTTTAGGTATTGTAATTAGTGCTGCTATGAACATGGAGGTACCTATATGCTTTCTGATTTCAGTTTCAGGCTTCTTAGGGCATGTTCCTAGAACTGGGATTAATGGGTCAGATGGCACTTCAATTTTTAATTTTTTGAGGTAACATCCTAATATTTTCAATAGTGCCTGCACCAGTTTGCATTCCCACCAGCAGTGTAGTAGATTCATCTATTCTCCACACCCTTGTCAACACTTATGTTTGACGATTTGTTGATGGCGGTCATTCTGACAGGTGTGAGGTGATACCTCATTGTTGTTTTAATTGGCATCTCTCTGAGGATTAATGATGATGAGCTTTTTGTCATATGTCTCTTAGCCATTTGTATGTCCTGTATGGAGAGGTGTCTCTTTAGGTCCTCTGCCCATTCCTTAATTGGGTTTTTTGTCCTCCTTTTGTTGAGCTGTATGAGCACTCTATATATTTTGGAAAGTAACCCTTATCTGATATATCATTGGCAATTATGCTCTCCCATACAATGGGTTGCCTTTCCATTTTGATGATTCTATCTTTTGCTGTGCAGCTTTTGAGTTTGATGTAGTCCCATGTGTTCATTTTCTCCTTTGTTTCTGTTGTCTTAGGTGTATCATTAAAAATTCTGCTGTGTATGATGTCTGAAATTTTGTTGCCTACAGTTTCTGTGGTGTCAGTTATTATCTCTCCTCTTTCATTTATGATTTTGTGTATTTGGGTTCTCTCTCTTTGTTTCTTGGTGAGTCTAGCTAAGGGTCCATCAATCTTGTTTATTTTTTCGAAGAACCAGCTCTTTGTTATTTTGATCCTTTGAATTGTTTTTTTGGTCTTCAAGTCGTTTATTTCTGCTCTGATCTTTACTATTTCCTTCCTTCTACTTGCTCTGGGGGTTTCTTTTTGTTTGCTTTCTAGTTCTTTAAGTTGTGAGGTTAGATATTCTGTTAGAAATTTTTCTTGCTTCTTGAGGTAGGCCTGTAGTGCTATGAACTTCCCTCTCAGAACTTCTTTCACTGCATCCCATAGATTTTGTGTTGTTGTCTGTTACTTTTCATTGCTTTCCAGGAAATTTTTAATTTATTCCTTGATCTCCATGGTAACCCATTCATTGTTCAATAACATGCTATTTAGCCTCCATGTTTTCAAATGTCTTTGCATGTTTGTAGCAGTTGATTTCTAGTTTCATGCCATTGTGATCTGAAAAGATGCTTGATATGATTTCAATCTTCTTGAACTTGTAGAGACTTAATTTGTGTCGTGACATGTGGTCTATCTTTGAGAATGTCCCATGAGCACTTGAGAAGAATGTGAATTCTGCAGTTTTGCAGTGTAGCTCTTTTTAGATATTTATGAAATCTATCTGATCTAGTGCTTCAGTTAGAGTCTGTATTTTCTTGTTAATTGTTTGTCTAGATGATCCATCCAGTGATGTGAGCGAGATGTTGAAGTCCCCTCTTATGACTGTATTGCTGTTGATGTCCCCTTTTAAGTCCTCTAGAAGATTTTTAATATATGTTGGTACTCCTATATTGGGTGTATATATGTTTACCAATGTTATATCTTCCTGTTGGACAGATCCTTACAATATTATGTAGTGGCCTTCTTTGTCTCTAGATATGGCCTTCATTTTGAAATTTACTTTATCAGATATGAATTTGCTACCCCACCTTTATTTTCCTTTCCATTTGCTCAAAAGATTTTTTTCTATCCCTTCACTTTCAACTTATGTGAGTCTTTGGTTGTGAGGTGGGTCTCTTGTAAACAACATATATGGGAGTCATGCTTTCTTATCCAGTCAGTTACTCTGTGTCTTTTCATTGGAGCATTCAAACCATTCACATTTAAGGTGATAATTGATATGTACTTACTTATTGCCATTTTTGTTTAATGTTGTTATATTTTTCTTCCTATTTCTTCTACTAATTACAACAGTCTTTTTAGCATATCTTGCAGTGCTGGTTTGGTGAGAATATATTCCCTTAGCCTTTTTTTTTTTTTTGGAAAGGTGTTAATTTGACCTTCTATTTTGAATGGTAGGCTTGCAGAATAGAGTAGTCTTGGATTCAGATCCTTGTTTTTCATGACCTTGATTACTTCATGACACTCCCTTCTGGCCTGTAGTGTTTCTGTTGAGAGTCAGCTGAGAGCCTTATGGGGTTTCCTTTGTAGGTAACCTGTTATTTACCTCTTGCTGCCTTTAGGATTCTCTCTTTGTCTTTAATATTTGGCATTTTAATATTATGTGTCTTGGTGTGGACCTGTTTGGGTTCTTCTTACTTGGGGCTCTCTGTGCTTCTTGAACTTGAATGTCTTCTTCCTTCACCAAGTTAGGAAAGTTTTCTGTCGTTATTTCTTCAAATATATTCTCTAACCGTTGCCCATTTTCTTCTTCTTCGGGCACTCCTATGAGGAGAGTGTTATTGCATTTTCAGTTGTCCCAGGGTTCTCTTAAGTTATCTTCCTGTTTTTTAATCATTTTTTCTTTTGGTTTTCTGATTAGTTGATTTTTTCTACCCTGTCTTCTAATCCACTGATCTGGTCCTCAGCTTCCTCTACTCTGCTGGTTAGTCCTTCCAGTGTGTTCTTAATTTCTGCTATGCCATTCTTCATTTCCACTTGGGTGGTTTTCAATGTTTCTATATCTGCACTCATGGTGCTGATGTTCTTACTCATGCTGTTGAGCTTCCTCAAGATCATGGCTCCGAACTCTACCTCTGATAATGTGCTCACCTGCATTTCATTTATCTCATCTTCGCTAGAGTTCTCTTGTTCTTTTATTTGGGATTTGTTTCTTTGTTTCAGCATTATAGCTATCTAAGTGGGTTTTGGAGCCTGCCCAATTTTCCCTGTGAGTGTTGGTGCTCTGCTGTTTGTGGCTCCCTCTACTTGGTTTGGATGAGCCTAGGCCCACGTTAAACACCACTGTCAAGTCTACTTTTTCTGGGTAGATTTTCAAGCTCAGAAAAGGCTCAGTTATTCTCTAGCTATTTGCCTGGAAGGTAGTAGTCTCAGTTACTCAGGGACTTGGAATGTAGCCCTGGTGTTCTTCATAAGAGGATTTCCAGAGGGTGACATAGAAGCTGGTTATTAATAAGCCTCAATTTGCATGCCTTTGCCTCACCTATGAAAGGCTGAACCTCTGATGGAAGGGCTGCTGCTATTCCCCACAGCTGGCAGCTGGGGTGCGCTGCTGCCCACTGGAGCTCAACTCCTGCTCAGCTTTTGCTGTAGTATTTGGGAATGAGTTTCATCTGTTGGCCTGTGTTTCTGTTGCCTGGGATGAATGTCTGGACTGCAGCCTCTGTTGCTGGGGATATCTCTTGACTCTGATAGGGCTGCTACTGTGGGGGATGGCACTGGGGTTCTGGCTTTCTGCTGTTTCAGCAACTGGCACCTTGGCTGCTCCACTAGTGTTCACTGGTCTATGTTGACACAGGGAGTCCACTGTTCCGATGGTGCGAGGTACACTGGTGGGCTCAGGTTGCTGGACCCTAGCTGCCCCCACTGCCTCTTCTCAGGTAAGACTCGGGATCTTCCAGAATGGTGGGACCATTCTGTGGCACAGGGAGAAGCGCCCTGAAGACCCACTTACCAAGGTAGCCGGCTGCTCCCGTCCACAGCACAGAAACATACTGCTCCCTGTCTCTGATCTGCTTGGGTTTGGTCGTCCACCTTTATGTCCATGCACACTCTCCCACAGACTAGCTCACTCTCTCACACAGTCACCTTCCCTCTGGTCCTGCCCTCTGCCATCTTCTCTCTTATTCTTTTTTAATTAACTTATTTTCATTATAGATATTTCTTTTCCCTCATTGACACCCAACTTTTGATCCCGCCCCCCACTGTATTGTTGTCTATATCCATTGGTTATGCTTATAAGCATGTACGTTCTTTGGTTTATCTCTTCCCTCCATCCGCCCCCCTTCTCTTAGGTTTGTAAGTCTGAAGTATGATGTTGCCTGTAGGTTTTTCATCTATGTCCTTTATTATGTCAAGATATGATCCCTCTATTCCCACATTACTGAGTGTTTTGATCAGAAATGGGTGCTGAATTTTGCTCGATGTGTTTTTTAGCACCTATTGATAAGATCTATGATTTTTATCTTATATTTTGTTTATGTGGTGTATCACATATATTGATTGGCAAATATTGTACCAGCATTGCATCCCTGGGATGAATCCCTGTTGGTCATAGTGAATAATTTTTTAATGTATTTCTGGATCCGATTTACTAGTGTGTTGTGAGGGATTTGGGGATCTATGTTCATCAGGGATATTGGCCTGTAGTTTTCTTTCTTTGTAGGATCTTTATCTGGTTTTGGAATTAGAATTATGCTGGCTGGATAAAATGAGTTTGGAGGTCTTCCTTCTTTTTGGAAATTTTGGAATAGTTTGAGGAGAATGGATGTTATTTCTTCCTTGAATGTTCCATAAAACTCCCCAGTGAAGCCGTTCCGGTGTGGGCTTTTGTTTGCTGAGATAATCTAGATTATGTCTTCAATTTTCTTAGTTGTTATTGGTCCGTTCATGTTTTCTCTCTCCTCCTGGTTCAGTTTTGGGAGACTATGTGTGTAGAATTTTGTCTTTGTTGCTTAGATTGTCCAATTTTTTGCTGTATAATTGTTCATAGTATTAATTAACGATCCTTTGTATTTCTCTGGTGTCAGTTGTTACTTCTACTCGTTCACTTCTGATTTTGTTTATTTGGGTCCTCTCTCTTTGTTTCTTGGTGAGTCTAGCTCAGGGTCCGTCAAACTTTTTATCTTTTCAAAGAACCATCTCTTTGTTTCATTGGTCTTTTGAATTGTGTTTTTGATCTATTTATCATTTATTTCTGCTCTGATCTTTACTAATTATTTCCTTCTACTTGCTCTGGGGTTTTCTTTTTTTTTTTTTGCTTTCTAATTTTTTAAGTTGTGAGGTTAGATAGTCAATTAGAAATGTTTTGTGTCTTGACGTAGGCCTGTAGTGCTATGAACTTCCCTCTTAGAGCTGCTTTTGCTGCATCCCATCGATTTTGTGTTGGTATGTGTTTATTTTCACTGGTTTCTAGGAATTTTTTAATTCCTTACTTGATCTTCTTGGTAGCCCATTCATTGCTTAATAACATGCTATTTAACCTCCATGTGTTCAAATGTCTTTGTGTGTTTTTCTTGCAATTGATTTGTAGTTTCATGCCATTGTGATCTGACAAGATGCTTAATATGTGCCCTCACCAGAGATCAAACCTGAAACCCTGGTACACCAGGACCACACTCCAAGCAACTGAGCTACCAGGCCAGGGCCTGAGACATTCTTGTTGACACCACCTGAAATCACAGCCTTAGGCAGTTAGTGTTTTGATTTACAGGAGTTCACTACTGTTTTGGTAATGCTCTAGGGACAGGCTGTTTAGCCCTCACTGAGATGAGCTTTCCGTCAAATCAAATACATACCAAATTTGGAGAACAAAGTGTTCCCAGAAGGCTAAAGTGTCAGAAAAACAGAATGACTGTGCTCTGAGGATGATGATGGTGCTTTCAGTGGAGCTCCAAAAGTGGTCAGGTCTCTTTTGTCTGCAATGCTATCAGCTTGTCTGCCTCACCACTAAGCTGGGGAAAGAAGGAAAGGAAATCATTCAGAGTTCAAACTTCACAAAGTCCTTCCTCACCAGTCTTATCAAGTGTCTCTTGTACAGACTATTGTCAGTTTCTTCTGTGGCTCTGGGTAGTTGCCAGGGTTTTGAAATGGTTGATTTTAGTTGTTTTGCTAATATTTTTGTTGTTTTAGGTGGAGAGCAAGTCTTCAGTCTTCCACTCAGGAAGGCAGTGTCCCAGAACATTTATCTTTAACTATAACGTACTCCTGAAACTTCTGTTCACCTGCATTCACTAAGCTCTTTCCAGGTGTCTGTCCTACTTGGACTCCTCAGTTCTTTCTTGCATACATTCTTCAGAGTGTATATATCATTGATCTACAATATCCTACTACCCTCTCCATTGTCCTGAAATATCCTGCCTCACTCTATACAGGGGTGGGCAAAAGAACATTTTCAGTTGTTTGTATTGAAAATAGTACAACAATTAATAAATAATAGCACAAGAATAAACTCTGTTTTGCATATGCACAACTGTAAACCTTCTTTTGCCAACCCTGTCCATTACCCTAATGCTGGATCAAGAGTGAATTCTGGTCCTGTTTATCATTAAAACCTTGAGCAATAGACAAGCCATTTATGCTTCAGTTACCAACCTGTAATCATAAGAGAACTTCTGGATTGCACTGCTGTTAAAAGTAAACAGAATAACCCAACAGCGAAAGACAAACAATTTAAAAATGGACGAAAGAGTTTTGGCCCATGTAGTTCAATTGGTTGAAAGTCATCCAGTGAAAGGTCACTGGTTCAGTTCTGGTCAGGGCACATGTCCAGGTTGCAGATTTGATCCCTGGTCAGGGTACCTATGAGAGGAACTGATTGATGTTTCTCTCCCTCTCCCTTCTTTCTAAAATCAGTAAATATATTTGAAATGGATAAAATATTTCAATGGACATTTTTCCCAAGATATGTAAATGAACAAAAAGTGCATGAAGTGATGCTCTATATTATTGGTCATTAGGAAAATGGAAGTAAAAAACATCAAAATGAGATGCCACTTCACAGAAACTATGTTAAATGGTTAAAATAAGAAGACAGGCCTGGTTGGAGTGTCATGCTGTGCACAAGAAAGTGGCAACTTTGATTCCTGGTCAGGACACTACCTTGGTTGTGGGCTCGAGGCCCACCCAGGGCACCTGTGGGAGGAAACCGACTGATGTTTCTCTCACATTAATGTCTGTCTGTCTATCTGTCTGTCTGTCTCTCTTTCTCTTTTCTCTCTCTAAAAATAATAAAATTAAATAATAAAAAGACAGAATATAAAAAGAGTGTGTGTTTGCAATGATGTAGAAATATTTGAACACTTATACATTGCTACTTGCTATGAAAAATAGTTTCACTGTTTGCCAGGTGTTGAACGTATATAGCTACTCCATGATCCAGCAATTCACTCCTAGGTAAATACCCAAAGCAAATGGAAACATGTATACACACTGAAACTGTACGTGAATGCTCTTAGCAGCATTATTCAAAAGAGTCCCAAATTGGAAACATCCTAAATGTCCATCAGCTGATGAACAGAATGGCATATCTACACAATACAATATTATTTAGCCATTTTAAAAGAATTAAAAATGTATTTCCCATAAAAACATGCTGCAATATGGATAAACCTTGACTGAACACATTATTCAAGGTAAAAGAATCCAATCATAAAATGGTGCATATTGTATGACTCCCTTTATGTCCAGATATGCAAATCCAGAGACAGAAGTAGACTAATGGTGCCATGTAGCTATGGTAGACAGTGAGGTGCATGGATGCAGAAATAGGAGTGACTGCTAATGTAAATGAGTTTCTTCATGAAGAAATAAAAATTTTCTGATGTTACTTTGAGATGATGATCGCACAACTCTAAATATTTAAAAGGTCACTGAACTGCACAGTTTAAATGGGTGCATTTTATGGCATATGAAATATCTCTCCAAAAAGCCATAGTGAAAAAAGATTCAGTAGATGAGTTTTGCAGCAGATAAATATAAATAAATTGAAGAGTGCAAGAAAGACCCTTAAACCATGTTAGGTTCACAGAATTCTCAAAAACTGTTAACACATAAACAGACTTCTCCTGTGCTTCAACACAATCCACTCTGCTCAAATCTCAGCTCAAATATAGTTTTTTTGTGAAATCTTCTGTAACCATTCTAAACCCTTACACACAAGACTAAGCATGGCATCCAATGAAACATCTCTTAGCCTCCCATTTTTGTTGTTTTGTTGCAGTGTGTCTAATTGTGTGTCTGCTACCTGATGTGAGATGTGTGGGATTAAAGGTCATGTTTACGTTCTTTACAACCATGTCTTCAGAGCCAACCATAGGAACTATCACAGAAGAGACACTGAATAAATTAAGAAATGAATTTATTAAATCGTTGTATATTTCTAAGGACCAATGCATTGTTAATTCTCCTTCTTTCTTAGCTGCTGGCTTCGCTCAGGAAACGGACTTAAATGGAGCTTCCTTGGACCGGTCTGTGCCATCATCTCTGTGAGTGACAACATCAGAGCATTCTTAACGCTCAGCTGAGGGTCATAAGACGAGCAGAATTATAAAGAGGAGGAGGATGATAGAAGCAAGAATGTTCCTGGGTTATCTTGGGTTTGATTTGGTTTTCTAAGACAATTCCAAAAACTACAAAATCTAACATTGTTACTAAACATGAAAACTACTTAAGTGGAAATGCTGTTGGTCAGGCTAGGCTAAAGACAACCAACAAAAATTGTATTCACTAAATCTTCTATGGTTTCCTGAAGGTCAATCTAACTCTCTTTCTGATGACCCTCTGGAGTCTGAAAAGCAAACTTTCTTCTCTCAACAGTGAAGTGTCCACCCTCCAGAATACAAGGTAAGATGGAAAAGAGGTGGGCCACCCCACAGTCATGCTCCCCAGATAAAATCCATGTGCCTCAGCAGGCCTTGATATCCCTTCTCAGGTCTTCTGAGGGAACCCAGAGTAAGGAGATACAGCTATCCTTCTACAGTGGCCAGCTCAGATTCAGTGGTGGGCTGCTGACTCATAGCCAACAAGTTCTGTCTCTAAGCCTAGCTTGTAACTTCTTCAGCAAGAGGAAGAACTGACATGGTTGATTCACATTCTTTGAACTTTATCAGCAGTCCTATGACAAAAGTACAAAGAACCTGTGTGCACTTAGAAAAATCTGTGACTCCTCCCATAATCCAGTCTACACTTTCATACCCAC